TTTGTAATTTTTCATGGCTTTACTAATATAGTATCTCAAGTGTCTTTGTTCTCCCCTCTGCCTGAGAGGCAGAACCTGCTATCTAGCCGGCTGACCTAAGCACTGCTTCATTTCAGCTATCTGGCAAGCAAAGCAAATGGCCCTGTGAAACACATGTAGTCCACAGATTTGCTTCTGCATCATCATAAAGCAGTACAATATTATAATATATATATATTAACAATTTGAATAATATAAACACATTATTCATTTTAGCTCAGTATTTAAATTACCCTGATATTAGAATTCTGACTGCATCACACTTGCATTTTTAATTTTTTTTTTCCACATAAGTAGATACTTTCCTTTAGAAAACAATACAGAGAACAAAGATAAGAAACAAGTAAATTTGATTTTCCTTACTGGTTCTGCTTTAAAAACTGAAAATCCAATATTTATATAAAAATATAAGTGCCTGTCAGTAATTGTAATCACACTGCTTCACACAGTTTTGCTACTGTCAAATCTACAACCTTGCTATCTCTGCCCATAGCCAACACTGCCCAGCAGCTATAACCACAGCATCACAGAGCAGTCTAGGTTGGGAAAAGAGCACTAGAAATTATCTCGTCTGCAATCTCTCCTTGGACCCTATTTCATTAGGTTTTAATAGGGCCTTACATCAGGTAAGCTACGGTGCTGCCAAAATGAGCCTTCAATATTTTGGTGAGGGAGATTCCACCATGCTTTTGAGGAACTTACTGCAATGTTTAGTTCCTTTTTCTAATACTGAGATGAAATTTCTTCTCTCACTCATAATTCATTCTTCACAGCTACCTTCTAGGTACTGGATGTTTAATGAAATTTCTCCAAGCCTTCTCTCCTTTGAGGTGCTGGAGCATGTCCAAAGGAAGGCAATGAAGCTGGTGAAGGGTCTGGAGTACAAGTCTTATTAGGATCAGCTGAGGGAACTGAGAGTGTTTAGCCCGAAGAAAAGAAGGCTTGGGGGGGATCTTACTGCTGTCTATAGCAAGGTGGGGTTGCTCTTTTCTCCCAAATAACATGAGAAAATTACCTCAAGTTGCACAAAAGGAGGTTCAGACTGGATATTAGAAAAATTTCTTTACTGAAAGGGTTGTCAAGCATTGGAACAGGGTTCCCATGGCAGTGCTGGAATCACCATCCCTGTAGGTATTTAAAGGATGTGTAGATGTGGCATTTAGGAACATGGTTTAGAGGTAGACTTGGCAGTGCTGGGTTACAGTTGAGCTCTATTATCTTGAGAGGTCTTTTCCAACCTAAACAATTCTATGATTCCAATACAAACTTCCCTGAATCTTTTTCCAAATATTGAGTTCTCTAACATGCTAATCATCCTTCTAATATACAAATCATCCTGGTGGCCACCTTCCCCAATTCTTCAATATCTCTCTAGAAATCAGGGGACAAATCAGACCCACCATCCTAGGTATGCTCTTACAAAAGAGGACTCAGCTTGCCCTCACTGCCACAAGGGCACAGTTCTGGCATTGTTCAGCTTGCCATCCGACAGCATCCCCAGCTCCTTTTTAAGAGAGCTACATCCCAGCCAGCTATACCCTAGTGTGCACTGCTGTTTGGCAACGATACCACGTTAGTGCACAACTTAACACATATCTTTGTTAAGCCTTAGGTACATCCTCCTGGCCTAGTCTTCTACTACACCTTTGTGTGTTAAGTTTTGTCTCTATATTTCTCTTATGTAGATATCACAGTCGAGCCCTATCTCTTTCTTCTGTAAACTGAACAAGCTTAACAGAGTCTCTTTCTATGAAATTTTGATTCTAACCCAAAGTTATTTTGTTCCAGTTTCTGTTCCATTCCATTTTTTAAATCCCAATTGATACCATTATGCAAGACAAATTCCATAGGACAGACACTGCTGGAATGGCAGCTTCTCAGCAAGTTCCCCAGTTTTCCCTGATTCCTTGTTTCAGTACTGAAAACATTTTTTGACTGTAGATCTAACTTGCCAAGCAACTGGATGACATCAAATAAATTCTTTATTATTTATTGTTTTACCGATCTTGAGTTTAAACCAAATGTTACCAGTAATGATCTAACACAATTTCCTAAAATCACTCCTAAGCAGTATTTATGGAAGACTATAATTCCTAGAAACTGTTTCCTAAAACATTTTCAGAAAGATATTACATGCCTCATGACATGGCTATTTTACCAATACTAAACACTCTTGAGGTCTGAATGAGATTTATCTTAAATACTCCCTTTATAAAATCTTAAATCTATAATATATCAAAGCAGTAACTGTAATGAAGCAAACTCAGTATATGAACAGTTTATTGTCATTTAATTTTATTCATAAAATTTTTCATTAGAAACCCCTTATTTTACCCAAATTGTGACATTCAGCTAGGCCATCTGTTATTGTTGGGATTGAATCACTCTCTAGTATTGACATATCACCAGTACTTTCTCATTTTTAAGGACTTGCTTATCATTCCAAATATTATTTAAAATGAGTAAAAAAAGGACTCCCCTTAAAGCATCTTTTATCATTTTTTGGGTGAGTATTTATAAAGAATCACTCTCAGAAATTATGATTAACCATTAAGGCACAGGAATGAGTGGACTCTTCACACATCCTTCAGACTGTGACTAGATGCCCTTTAGGAGAGAACTTTGCTGCTAAAAACAACTTACTGACTTGAATACTGTGATAGCTAAGAAAGAGTAATAGCTACAACAGATAGATAAATGAACTGTAATTACAGGAAAAAGGTACACAATCCGTTGAATTATTTCACCTTCACATCACCTTATGATCAGATAGATGTCTAACCATGAGAAGTCATGTAAATATATACATATGTACTAGGGACTGTCTATCTTGAAATTCTTACTTTATGACAACCCCTACAGCAGCTGATCATATTGCTTCCCAAGAGAAAAATTAATACAAGAAAAGAAGGGATACATGATACAGTGTGCTGCATGGGAAAAATATGAACCAGCATCAGCCCCACTCAGTGTAACAGACTCCTGAAAAACACCTTATAGGCAATATAAACATTTTCTCACAAAACTGACAATTTTCAACAAAATTTACACTGAATTAATACCATCTCTGAAGTATTATTGTGTACATAAGAATTATTTTTCTTTGTAATTAAATGAATGCTGTACTGAGCATTATATGGTCCCACAAGCAGTATAAAACACAGGACAAAATGAATCTGCAAAGAAAAGTACTAACTCAACTACCAAAACCAGTTACAGCAAGCAAAAAAACGTTGCAAGCATCTATACAGTAATGTAGCCAGCACTCCAATTCTTTACATTTTTAACCTACTCCCAGATAAAAGTAGAAGAAACATTTCAATTACAGCAGCTTAAAGATGTGAAATAATCTGAAGCAGCAAAAACCTTTTGTCCTAAATTCCTTGTGCTGGAGAAGGACAAAAAAGGAACAGAAGAAAAGTCTTAGATAAACCAAAACTTTCACACTGCCCATATTTTGTTACTAAATTCTACTATAC